ATGAAGAATTAGCATGAGGTCAACAATCAGCAGCAGGATGTTCACTTGATAGGCCACAATAATGGTACCCAAATTTTGAGAGGCCCAGTTCAAATCAAATAAACAATCCAATTTTGATGAAACTACAAGGATCCATTGGTCGGCTTATGGTCATTATTGGGGTAAAAAAACTGATCAAACAGTCCTATGGAAGAGTCACTGTCTAGACAAACAAAGTTGCTAGGCCCTCTCTAACCATTCTGACTCTTTTAGGTAGCTGCAATATAATCTAACAATAATACGACTCAATTTCTCACTTGTAAATGGTTAAAGCACATTCTCCAAGTTGTGAATTTAAGTAAGCCATGTGAGCGTAGATCTATTAAAATCATGTTTGTCTAAAGCCAGACCAAAAAATTAAAAGAACGGTAGCCACATATATGCAGCACTTCTTGTTAAGAACATTACCTGAATCTGACTCGTCTAAGCTCCCGTTTGCCCCCTGGTAGTGCTCTAATTGTGATGTAAACCCCTGGCTCATCCTGTTCAACCCATTCAGTCTCCAGATCGCTAGCGTTGCTGATAGATAGCTCTCCTGAGCGATCTGCCTCCCTTGATGAACTACTTCTGATAGAAGCATCCATGGATGATGTCTCAGTCTTGGTCCCACTTATGCTGGAGAGTTTTGGCGTGGAATTGATACCACCTGAATCATAGTAATGGCGGGACTGCATTGGGTGATGATCAAGTGAATCTGAGGATGAGTAGCTCATAGCCATCCCCGTTGGACGGTACAAGTTGCGAGGTAGGCGTTCTCTAGTTAGTGGTGGAGTTACAGGACTGGCTTCCGCAGATTCCATCTTTGAACTCTGTAACAGGAGAGGAAAATGACATCAATCACATCAAAGAGTAAATGAAGAAAACAACACAACTTACATATTGTACTCGTTAGTCATAATACTCTATTAAGTATTAGGCCTCAAGATGGTGATTGCATTAAAGGTTTTTCTGAAATATCATTTACCAAAGCTGAATTCGAATTGGCATCACTACGATCAGTTACAGAAAAATTGAGATCAGCAACCTACATGAGTGTATTGCCATCAGATGCGAATAGAATAACACAGAATCGCCAATGCAATTGAATTTCTATAAGCCAGCTTGGGGCTTACCTCATCTTCAGATCTTGGTGGGGTTGGAAGCGGGAAAGCTTGCCGGTTAAACCTTTGAACATTGTAAAGTTCCATGACCCTGTCATAGTTCTCAGCCCACCACCTCTGAGCTTGCCATTTGTTAAAAATCTCTCGACTAGTCAAAGAAAATAAAAACATGAATTAAGAATCCCTGATGTCACCAAGTTACTGCATAAGGAATGAGAACAACAGGGCATGCAGCAAGCACACAGAACAGTTGTAGTAAACATTTTTTTTGCAGAAATTGCAATGTGTCATGATTCATGGTTTAGGCAATAATTAACATTTTAGTATATTGTTAGATACGTTAGGCCACTTTGAATTGGGCGCGCAACACCTTTTGACAAAGTGGGATCCTTGTGCAAAAAGAAAGCAAAACTAGCATTCGGTGCAAGGAATAAATTAAAGTGGTCGTGAAAAAAAGGTGGCCCAACTGGCTTTATTAGCATTTAATCAGCAGTGCCTAACCCATCAAACCTAAGTGCCTTTTTTTTTTATCGGCCGATCAAAAGTAGGTGGTGGGTTCATAATAAAGAAATCAATTCATAGACCAACCAAAACATCAGTTTTAGGTTCAAATCAATCCATTTTGTTTTTTGTCTCGTAGAAAACAAGAAAGCTACTGTGAGTCACTGTATAAAAACCATATGTCCTTGTTCACATTTGTCATGTACGTAGTTTTGGATTGACAGTATTTTCTGGTGTTACTAGAAGGTTTAGGGAGACAAAGAAAGAAATGATAAGAAGACAAAGCCACGGAGAATCAGGCAGGCGTGATAGAATTTTGAAAAAAGAAATACAAAGGCCTTCTCCGACACGACGACAACACTCAGTGAAAAAGCTTCCTAACACAATCAAACTTGGCCCACCCCACCTTAAATTGTCACCATTTGCACCTTTGTTTGCTTGCTTTTCATCAGGAGGCGTGATTTTTACTGGGATTAGTAGGCCCCTCCCCTGGCCCCACCTAAATTCTTCATATTGAAACCAAAGACAGGTATCTAAGGTCATGTTTGGATGCTACATTTTTTATATTAATTAATTGGCAAAGGAAATTCTCAAAATAATACTCAGCCCAGAAATTTTTTTTTCTTTTCATTTTTCAAAATGAAGGTTGTGTGCAAATTTCAACAATAAAAAGTATTTTTGACCAAAAGAATAAAAAACATTTTTAGTAAAAAGCCAATCATCCAAACATCACCTAACTTACCCAAACATAACAAATATTTTAATATCCCACTGGGACCGACAGCCACCGTTGGATCAAAATGCAAAGACTAAATCAGACCGTTGACTAACAAGGGAGCTAACCTGAACCGAATGCGCTTGAGATCGTTCCCGCCGCGTGGCAGGGAGACGAACGTGATGAGAACTCCGGGCTCCACCTGGGCCACCCACTCCTTGGGCTCGCGCTCTTCGACGAACACGACCGGGTCAACTCGGCGACCGCTTGCCGAGTTGGGGGTGCCTTCGCCGCTGGAGATCCCTTTGAGCCTCGCCTCCATCTCCTTCCCCCAAGTCCTCGGCGTCGTGGAGCTCGAGCTCCCGGTCCGCCGGTACGACCACCTGAACCGGTCCGAGTCAGCATCCGACTCGCCGGTCCCCTTGAGCCGAGTCTGAGTCGCCGGACCGGTGCAGGGGGCGCAGTGCCTGTAAGCTCCCGAGGCCTTCAATGCCATGTCTTTGAGCTGCAAAATTCAAATTCCCCCTTGAGGCTACAACAATTCATGCAAATATATATATGTATAATATGTATGTATAGGTAAGGGCTTCTGGAGTTTTTGAGCTGAGACAGTACCTGGAAAGTGAGGGATTTAATGGCGGCTTGTTGCTTGTTGTTGGAGGAGGCGGGGGTGTTGGTGGAGTCGGAGACTTCGGGTTGACTCAGTGAGTCGTCGCCGAGTTTCTTAGGCCGAGCTATGCACGTCAACATTGTGCTCTCTTCTCTTGTTTTGCGAAATTCGGGGAAAGAGCTGAACGGAATGTGGTTAGAGTGATGGCGAAGCGATGTCGCTTCTGGTTCCGTACGGCTGGAATTCGGAGATTAGGGCCGGGACTGAGGAAGCGGAAGGGTGGAATGGAAGGATGCGTAGAGAACGAGGCGCGCGGGGTACGAGTTGATGCAACTGTCGCTGCTCTGAGCTCTCTCAGACACGCACCTTAAATGCGACCTTAAATTACGCTACCAGAAAAGAGATTCTCTGAGAAAATTAAAAAAGAAAAAACTTCATGAATAATAATCATAAAATCCAAAATTTGTTTTATATAAAAAGAATGGGAATTAAATCAATGAAGAAATAGTTAGATTATAATATATATATATATAAATTTAAAAAAGAAGTAACCAATACCAGAGACTCAGTATGATCGGAGTTAATGGCGAATTGGTGATGTCGTAATGACGAGTGAGTGGTACTAGTGAGAGAGAGACAGAGAGTGAGTGTGTGTGTTTTTTGGCTCGCGGCTCGCTGATTGGCTATAACGGCAACGGGATATGCTTTGCTTCGTTTTTTTTGGGTTACCGGGTACCGGGTGTTTACCGGGTTGCGTTTTCGTCGGGTAAGGTTGATGGGTAGTCCCGGTCCACATAACGAGCGTTTCCTGGGTCTTGTCTTTTACTTTTGTGGGGCCCATTTTTCATTGGGTGTGGACTTCTCGAAAGAGAAGGCCTGTTTAAGATGTTGTGTAATAAGATGTCCAAGACGACCCAAAAGGGGACGAATTTGAGAAAAGTCCGGGCCAAGAGCCTGAAAGCCTCAAATCAAAATTTTGTTTTCTAACAGGTTTTTGTTTTGTGGGCTACTATTATTGATGACGTTTGACCAAGCTAGCAAGTTGTGTTCTGGCTTTAATTGGGAATTGACATCACCATAGCTGCACAAGGAGGACAAGGCTTCCATGTTTGATTGTTCAGTTTTGACCAAGATAACAACCTAACAGTTTCAATGGAGTTGTTTTGGGGGTTACATAAGCATAGTGGGCCATAACAGGTTTCATCTATCTATGTATTATTACATGAGTTTCGATTCATTACAGGAATGGTAAGAATCGAACTATTTCCCTTTATACTTACGAGAATTTGTAAAAATAAAATCTTATATTAACTTTGAGGATCACGAATGACACAAAAAAAGAAAAAGAACGCAATCTGATAGTTTCGTAAACTTTATAGGCGTTTTTTGATCAAATAAAAACCAATATTAATTAACCTATCTTTTCACTTTCCCATGTTAGAGGATTGAATCTCATACAAATGTCACCTCATATGAAAGAGAAGTGGAGTATTGAAACATATGACAATTTTCCTTAATAAAACAACATAACAAGAAAGATGCTACAAAGGTCAATTCTTTCTTAATCTCTCAATCTCTTCCACATGCTTGAGTCTTGCACAAACCAAACCATAAGATATTAGGGGTTCAAAGTCTTTTGAAAAAATGCTTGGAGTCCAAGGGCTGCACAGAATCTCACCCTCTGCAACATTGTTTGTGACTGCAAAAATTCCCCAGTGCTCTTTAAACACCAAATTAAACCAAATTAATCTGAAATTAATGCATGTGTTATAGTATTTAAAGCATTGTGTGGGCCCATGCAGCCAGTAAATATATAGACCCACCTGCCCAAACCTGTGGGTCCGTATTTTTATCTGGAATTTTCCATGGTGGTCTCGAAATTTATCTAGGGGAGCTGCCAACAACCTAAATATTACTAAAATAAGATACCAATTATAAATTATATAATTATAATGGAGACTTGAAAAGCTTGGTCTTGATGTTTTTTGCTTTCGCCCCCATAAAAAAATTAATTTTTCGCTGAACAGGTCAAATTTTTTTAATAATTTTATTTTCCTTCTCATGCTACTCAGACACAAACGCGATCCCCAACTACAGCCCCGTTTATCACATCCATCAGCTCTCACGGCCTTTCGCCACGTGTCGTACAGGATCAATCCTGGGACCTACGCCCGTTCTGGAACTACCCAGCTCCCTCCAGTTTTCTAAACGCGACCACAACTTGTACACAACCAGGTTGAGCAGTCAATCGGAAGCCTCCCCCTCCCACTCGCTGGCAACAACCTCTTCCGCCGGTGGCTTTGTATTAATTAGTAGCCGTGTTTCTAGGAGCTTAGGGTTTCGATCAGCTGCTTCGCTGAGCAACGAGACCAGTAATTCAGGGGAGAGCATTTAATTTAAAGACTTTCACTTTTTTCTCTAGTTCTGTCTCTCCGACCCTCTCTTTTTTTATTGGAACGATGTCGTTTCTCAGACGCAGAAAGGGAAAAGCTTCGGACTCAGAGCCGGCTCCGATTGAAGACGAGAGTGAAATAGAACAGGAAAACCAGAAGCACAAGCAAAAGCAAAAGCTTCCCAGTAAAGATGGAGGGAAGCCACAAAAGTGGTCCTGCGTCGATAGCTGTTGTTGGTTCATTGGGTTCATATGCTCGATCTGGTGGTTCTTGCTCTTCTTGTACAACGCAATGCCCGCTTCTTTTCCCCAGTTCGTGACCGAAGCGATAACGGGTCCTTTGTCTGACCCGCCGGGCGTGAAATTGAGGAAGGAGGGGCTCGTGGCCAAGCACCCTGTGGTCTTTGTGCCTGGGATTGTGACCGGCGGGCTTGAATTGTGGGAAGGGCATCAGTGTGCTGATGGGTTGTTTAGGAAGAGGCTATGGGGTGGCACATTTGGTGAATTGTACAAAAGGTAAGTGCTTTATGTCCTTTTCCTTATAAAGCAGTATTCATTTTGGATTAATTTGATGTGAGTTTTGCCCTGCTTGTTTGATTGTTTAATTACTTTGGTGTTTTGGGTTTTGTGGATTATGGAGTAGTTTAGAAAGAAGTGTGTTTTATACTTGAAAAGGGTGATTTTGCCTTAAACCAATGCTGCTTTTGTTTCGTGTTTCGTGCGCTGAGGTTGCTTAAACCGGTAAAGTGTCAAGCAGTTTAACAAGTGAACCCATGAGTTGATTATTGGGGTGTTGTCTTGAACACCCCAATAATCTTTTGAATTGTAAATGTGAAGAAAATCTTATTAGGGTGCTTGCTAGAATGTGGAAATCTCATTCATTTTGCCTTTCTATTATCAGAAAAAAATGTGGGTGGTTAGACCTTGGTTACATGTGTTAGTTTGACAAGTTATTTCATGCTTTAACTATTAATCATTGGGGTGTTTTGATTTTCCAATTTTCCTCCATCTCTTTAATCTTCCTCAAAGTAAACATCCCGTGTGTTTTAATCTTCCATGGTGTTAACCATGTTTCCTTTCATTTTTCACAGACCGTTATGCTGGGCTGAGCACATGTCTCTGGATAATGAAACGGGACTAGACCCTTCGGGTATAAGGGTCAGGCCCGTATCTGGCCTTGTGGCAGCTGATTATTTTGCACCAGGTTATTTTGTCTGGGCAGTTTTAATTGCTAATTTGGCTCGCATTGGATATGAAGAGAAAACCATGTATATGGCTTCGTATGATTGGAGATTATCGTTTCAAAATACCGAGGTGTTGTTATCTGACCAATTAATCTTCCTATGATGGAAATTCATATGGTTTCTTTGTTTGTTCATAGTAGCATATATTTAAGAATGAGAAGTGACTTTTATTGTATTTTATCTCCTTGATTGCCTTTGTCAGGTTAGGGACCAAACGTTAAGTAGGATAAAGAGTAATATAGAGCTTATGGTAGCTACAAATGGTGGTAACAAGGTGGTTGTTATTCCGCACTCAATGGGTGTTCTGTACTTTCTGCATTTTATGAAGTGGGTTGAGGCACCAGCTCCAATGGGTGGTGGTGGTGGGTCAGATTGGTGTGCTAAGCATATTAGAGCTGTAGTGAACATCGGTGGACCCTTTCTAGGGGTCCCAAAAGCCGTTGCGGGACTTTTCTCTATTGAAGCCAGAGATATTGCTGTTGCCAGGTTTTTTATCATTTACTTACACATCAGATTAGTTCGCTAGAAACATTTATGAATATTTGTTCCCTGCTTTGGGCTGTTGATGAAATTCTAATCCTCATTACAGGGCTTTCGCACCAGGTGTTTTGGATAAGGACGTTTTTGGGCTCCAAACATTACAACATATGATGCGAATGACCCGTACGTGGGATTCAACTATGTCAATGATACCAAAAGGCGGGGACACTATATGGGGTGGCCTTGATTGGTCCCCTGAAGGATACTGCAATTGTAGTGCAAAGAAGGTGAAGAATAATGATACCAATACTGCAGCTGAAAACAGAGTAAATTATGGGAGGATTATATCATTTGGGAAAGATGTAGCGGAGACACATTCCTCCAAGATTGAGATGATTGATTTTAGGGTAATTTTCTGTGTTTCAAATATGATCACTATTATATAAAGTAACTTTACTTCCATTATAATTATATAGATTGTGTGTGTGTGTCTGAAATACAATCTACAGATGGAATTGCATGTACTTTCAATCTCATACTGTATCATATGCTGTTTAGTAGTTTACCTAGCATCTCAACTTAATTATTTGATTTTCAAGATGGGATTATTCATAAAAAGATGAAGGTTGGGCTTGCAATTGTGGCTTATGTTGGTTCCAATTACAAAACATTTGTGTGTAAAATGATTTGTTAGGTCATATTTCCTTACATTTATGTGGAGACTAATGACTTCCCATGATTTATGTATATTGCTAAAATGCTCATTTTCCATGTGAGAGTGACTACTATTTAAACCATTACTTCAAATTTCTTTGATTAGAGCCAAGCCTGAGGTTTTTATCATGCCTCAAAGACACTGAAATAATCACAATATGAAGTTTGCCTGATTTGTCTTTGTCTCCCAAGATCTGTACTGTCTTTTCTTTTTGTCAGAATCCCAATATGCATGCTATCATGAGATATTTTGTACAGACACTATAAATTCTTAACTGCTTAACTTGTATCACTTTGACTTGTACTTGATTGGCAGGACGCTGTAAAGGGTAATAACCTTGCGAACGCTACCCATTGTGATGTATGGACAGAGTACCATGAAATGGGTGTTGGGGGTGTCAAAGCTGTTGCAGATTACAAAGTGTACACAACTGAATCAGTTTTGGATCTGTTTCGTTTTGTTGCCCCCAAGTTGATGACACGTGGGGATGCTCATTTTTCATATGGGATTGCCAACAATTTGGATGACCCGGAATATGAACACTTCAAGTATTGGTCGAACCCCCTGGAAACAAAGTGAGTTTTCAACTTGTTCTGTTGTTCTAAGTTTTCCCACCGAGTGAATCATGGATTGAACTTAATCTGGTTTTTTTCCCTCTTTTGGTGATCCTTAATTGAGTGTAACAAGTATTAATGCTTTTAATTGTTTCAGCATGCATATTCTCCAATGCCTGTATATGCTCAGAAATAAAATCATTAAGTAGGAAATGCCCCACTTTGCCTAGGTAGTAAAGATATTCACTGAGGTGGTATTGGGGACTGGTTTCTACCATTTAACTGTCTGGCCAATTCTTACCCAAAGCATGAAAAGTCATAATCCAAACATGTCCTGTATGTGTTGATCCAGTTTTCCATTGTGGGTCCGAAAAGTTTATACAGTTGTTGATTATGTTAATGATTTGGTTCTTCCCTTTTGGTTCAGCTCTTATTATCGTACAAATAAATGCTCGTTTGTCCATGTATTGTTTATTTAAGTATTCTTTTGGAGCTTGCGTTCATTGTTTAAGCAAATGTTCTATTAGGAATGCTTGCTTGAACTTCTGACCTGTTTGTGCAGATTACCAAATGCTCCGGATATGGAGATCTATTCTTTGTATGGAGTTGGAATCCCGACTGAAAGAGCATATGTATACAAGTTAACTCCAACTGCTGAATGCTACATTCCCTTTCAGATAGACACCTCAGCAGAAGGTGGAAGTGAGAACCCTTGTTTAAAAGGTGGAGTTTTCTCCTCTGATGGGGATGAAACTGTTCCAGTTTTGAGTGCAGGCTTCATGTGTGCTAAAGGTTGGAGGGGTAAGACCCGATTCAATCCTTCAGGCATCCCTACTTACATAAGGGAGTACGACCATGCCCCTCCAGCTAATCTTCTAGAGGGTCGGGGCACCCAGAGTGGTGCTCATGTTGACATAATGGGGAACTTTGCATTAATTGAGGATGTTTTAAGAGTGGCAGCCGGTGCTAAGGGAGAGGATTTGGGTGGAGATAAAGTGCACTCTGATATTTTCAAATGGTCTGAAAACATCAACTTAGATCTCTGATTTACATGGTGAGCTGAAAACATCAACTCTCTCTCACACACACACACACACACACACACACACACACAAACAATAGGAATACAGCCACATGCACCACAACACGGTGCTATAGTTACGTTTACATTCTGAAGCTGGAATACTATTCTTGTGTTTTAACTTGCTTCTTCCAACCTCTGGTTCAGGTAATCTGGTGCTTGAAGATACACCCGATGAATTATCGGTTGCCGTAGTGGTTGCGAATTGTGATTATGGCGAAGTTCTTGTATTTGATTTGAAACCTAAGAAATGAATAGCAGATTGCTGAAACAAACCCTTCCGGGTTTATGTTGTCATCTATATGTACTCTGCAGTCTCGATTTATCTGAGGAGCCCCGAAACAGCTTCAAGAATGGGATCCCACGTCATGCCGGGCTCCTACCAATTTAGGTGTAGCTAGCTTTTACAGTTCATATATAGCTCCCTGGGATTTTGGATATTCAATTAATTTATTGGATATTGTCAATAAATTATTTAATATATCAGTGTAATGGTTCTTCTATCTGTAATTATTTGTGGAAGACCATTGCTGCTCCACCTTGTCTATTGCTGCTGTAATGGCTTCATCACCAAGTCTTCCTTCTTATATGGTTTGTTCCGAGATTCTAATCCGAAGAAACTCTAGTGCGCGGGGCAGACTTGTCTCGAAGGAGTGGAAACAAACACACCACCCATAATTCAAATTTCTTGAAATTGCCTTGTGAAAGAACCAGTGCCACCAAGACATGTCTTTTTCATCAAATAAAAAAAATAAAGCAACAAACACAGGTCAACAAGTACTTATCCACCTCTGCACCCATTGACAATATTATTTAACAATAATAATAAGAGATATTTAATCAAATACCCATTCTTAGCACTAAAACTATAAATAAACTGTACATCATTTAATTTCTATAAACAAACCCAAAAAAAACCCAAAAAATGAAAGTTGACCGTATTGAATTTAATTTTGATTATTAAATTACTTTGATGCCCTATTAAGTGTTTTGGGCTTTTTTTTTATGAGGTTTTGGGATTGAATCTGTTTTAAGAAATTAATGGTAGTTTCGTAATTTAAAAGAAGTTAAAAACCATTTTTGTTATGTTGTAAATGGACTTTGGGTGTGTTTCTAAAGTACATTTCATATGAGGTTTTTTTATATAATTTGGACTCCTATATTTGGTATAATAGTGAATCTCCCTAATAATAATGCCAGACAAATTCCATTGACTTTCTCACCTTTCACATTCAAGATTGAAGCTGCTCATAGATTCTTGTTTGTGCGAGCCTAAAACATGTAATATTCTTAGGTGTGCCTTGTCTGCAAGCCTGTGATTGAGGAGGGGAGCCTATCGATTGTATAGTTTATACTATATGAAGGAGGGGAGTTTTTCACACACACACACCCAATGTATCATAAAGATTAGAATATGAGATCACTAGTCTGTAAGTCAATGTCCTTTTTCACTAGATTAGACGAATTCCGAGTCTCTGCATTAGCATCAGTGCATTTACACACATTTATAAAAATGCAAACCATTAGATTCATCTAATGATTTTAATAAGTCCACGTCATCAAAGTTGTATTAAACTAGAAACTAATTATTTGCACCTTATTATGTCTCAGCAAGCCACAGCCACACCTAACTTACACTGCCAGCCATGGTTGCCACCTTTGTCTCCTTCCTTTCCTCCCCCACCTCCCTCCCTCTCTCTCTCTCTCTCTCTCTCTCTCTCTCATTCCCTCGATTTGGGATGAGTGGCTGTCAATAAGGCCTAGCAGCTTATTTTATCAAATTCTAATCTTTAATACTACATTGTTTCAACAACAAAAATAAACCTGCAAAATCATAAATAAAAAATCTGCAAAATAAAGAGAAGGAATTCTGATGTACACTGTATTGTCTTATTCATAAGACAAAGTGACGAGAGTGATATGCAATTCAAGAAGCAACAGTGTCTATAATTTACAAAATTAATACATTAAAAGATAATTGGATATCAGTTTTTGAATCAAATTCAAGGTTTTGATAATTATGAAAATGATTTAATTGTGGGAGAGAGGAGGGAAAGGCCGCAGCTGCAGGGGAGAGGAAGAGATGGGTGAGTGATACGGTTCAAAAGGAGGAGTTTTAATCTAATACAATTATTATAAGGTGGAATAATTAAATTCAATTGGATCAGTTAAATGGTTAAGTTTTTTTTTAAATGCATGTAAATGCACCGATGCTAAATGTAGAGGCTCGAAATCCAGATTAGACCACGTTAGCAAAAAATTAGTGTCTTTCGTATTACTCTATGATGAAATAATGGTAACCAATTGAGAGTAACCTTTTTATACATGCTTCGACCAAAAATGTAGTCTTATTAGAGCACTTCCACCCTTATGGGCAAGGGTAGGGCAAGTGCTGTCACTATTTACGTGAATAGTGACAGCCCTTGCAATTTTGTTTCCACCCCTATGAGCACCTCCACCCATGTAGGCTAAGGCAAGGCAAGGGCTGCCACTATTCACATGAATAGTGCCAGCCTTGCCTTAGTTGGTTCCATCCTTGGAAGGCTAGGGCAAGGGCAAGAAAAAAAAAAAGATTATGCAACAAAATATAAACAATTTAGAAAGTGAATAAAATTATTATGTATTTATAGGGAAAATATCTATAATTTTTTGGTATTTTAAAAAAAAAATTGACATTTGTTTGGATTTTTTTGAATTTTTTTTACTCGCTGACGTCAGCGCCTTCGGGCCGCAGCCCAGGCAAGATCTGCCCGTGGGCTTGCCCAGTTCGATGGGACCTACCATTTGCCCGGGCCATTTTTCTTCCGCTGGAGCTGTCTTGGGCTGCCTTGGGGGGCCTTTTGCCTAGTCTTGGGTAAAGGCTGGAGGTGCTCTATGGGCAAGGGTAAGGGCAATTACTATTTACTTTAATTTATTATATATTTTTTATACCTAAATTTTTAATTTTTAATTAATTATTTAAACTTTATAGAAAAAAATTTCAAAATTTTTTGGTCTTTTTTTCGATTTTTTTTCAATTTTTATTACATAAAAAATGGAAGCCGTTGGATTGCAGTGGAAAATTTGATCGAACGCCCTAGGTGATGCCACGTGTCTTGTAGCAATGGAAAATAAATTTGAAAAGCGTGCTGAAGCCAACTTGACATCAGCATGACATCCGCAAACCAGGGCAACAACACGAACTGAATCTGCCTTTGGGCTTGCCCAAATTGATGGCCCCCACGTCTTGCCCGAGCTGCTTTGTGCGCATTGCCCAAATTGATGGCCCCCACGTCTTGCCCGAGCTGCTTTGTGCACACTGGATTCGTCTCGTAGGCCTTGGGCCCCTCCTTGCCCGGGCCAAACTGCTGCGGTGGACTTGCTCTTACTAGCAATTGGGTATGGTTGTTATCTTATAAGAATAGTAATAGCGCAACTAAAATAGATATAAGCTGTAGTACAAACGTAATTTATCTTTCATTTTAAGAAAAAGCTAATGCTTATGCTTTCCTCTTAATTAAAATAAGAAAAAGATTGATGCTTATCCCTTTCGGGTCAAGTAAAGTTGATTCTTTCGTTGTTACATTAAATGATGGGTCTTAGGTTGAAATAAAGAAAGAAAATTAAACCAAAGTAGTCATCTTTAATCTGTCATTAGTGACGATTTATATATAAATATTTTCTATTTTCAAGTTTGAAAAAAAACAAACGAGGATAAACACCTTCCCAGTCTACTAGAGTCTTCAACGCAGAAACTCACTCGCCATGGCGGTGCATGGGAAACACTTTCTAGTCAAAGGAGAGAGTAAACGTAAGCGTTGATGGAAGCAAATGGGCACAGTTGGGGTGGAGAGTGGGATGTTTGAGCGTGGGGAACAAGTGATGAAAACAGTGAACGGCGGCTGAGATAGAGAAAAGTGAATGCAGCCAAGCGTTAAGGGTGTGTTTGGGGGCGTGCTTGTGGGCCACCACCATGGAAGAAAAAGACGACAGCTGGAAAAAATACAAGAAAAATAGAGAGAGAGAGAGAGAGAGAGAGAGAGAGAGAGAGTCAAGTCAGAGAGATGGGGTGGGTGGCAAGTGCTTTTATTAAGGAATTTATGATTTTTTTAATTTTTTAATCTTTTGTGTGTGTCGAGGTTTGTGTATTCTGTGTGTTGTGTTGTCACAGCAGCTAAGCCCAAGAAGAAGGAAAAAATATGGAGAGTATTTTTGAGAGTGTTTTTATTTACAGAGTTTGAAGAGAGGGGACATGTCCAAGTTCTTCCCAACAGCTATATTCTTTGCTTATTCATGCCTTACCAGATCCCAAAGGTTTCTCTTTCTCTCTCCTTCTCTTGATTATTTCTTACTTTTCTTCTTTGTCTCCTCCACTCTTCAACTTCCCTATTGCTTCATTTGCTCTTTTCCTTTTTTACTTTTATGTCTTTTTTTTAAAATCAACTTTTTTTTAAAATATTTTTTTCTGCTCTTTTTGTGGATGGTTCATTTCTAGAATTCAAGTGGGTTGCTTTCTATTTGCTATTTACTGACTGCATGTGGAGTTTGGGATCATTTTGATTTTGCTTTAGTTGTTGCTGAAGATGGGAAAGTAGTAAAGTTGTCTCTTTTATTGGTTTCTGGTTCTATTGCTCCTTTGGGCACTTCGCTTTCTTGTGTTTTTTACACTTATTTTTTATTATTTGTTATATTTTACATTTTTGCTCTACTTATATTATTGGATATGGTGGATAATGCCTTGTTGTGTTGGGCTTGAGTGAGTAAATGGGCAGACAGAGCAACTGATGTGCTATATCTTGAAATATAAATTTTTTTTCTTTTCATTTTTTGGTATGCTTGGAGTTGGTCTCGAAATCTCAAGTCTTTTACTGATTGTTTGATTTGCCCGATTAATCTCTCATTGATCTGCTTCTGTTGCCATAAAAGGCTGTGGTTTGATTTATGGCATACTGATGCTGCATGTGACTGGAAAGCTTTCATGTCTGTAATATTTACTGAGCTGAATAATCCCCCATACCTTTCATCTGGTTTTCTAAACCTAGTTTTTCCCTCACATAGTAAATGAGATATTAAATGCAGTCTGTTGAAACTGGGAAGAACCTCTTCTTGGTGTTCTCAGCATGTGTGGAGTCTGATTTTTCATTTAAGAAGTAGAAACAGGACCACCAAGTTGTTTGAGATTTGTTGAATGAGTGGTTAGAAGGCAATAATCTGTTGTGTATTTCAATTCATTTGTGAGTTTTTTTTCTTTCTTTATCGTGTTGTTTGGGATATTCATTCATGGTAATTGTATTAGAAGAGAATTTATTGTTGAGTAATCTCATTTTTGTGCTTTAATGCTGAATGTGATTGAATGGTTGCATACTCTCCCATTACATGTAAAATTTTATGTGTAATTAGATAATCTGTCAGTATGCTTAATATAAGGTAGCCCTTAACTCCTTATTATGGATTTTGCATAAAAATTCAGGATACATTGATAGAATTATCTATGCCAACTCAAAACTTGGACAAGAAAATTTTCAATCAAAGTTCTGTCCAGTCAATGCCTCTCTATACTACTAATTGCATGTCGTGGAATCCAATTGAACGAGAAATTCCACATTCTTTGTCCAAGGATGCAAGCTTTAAAGTGGAATTTACGCCACAAGTTCATCACGATGCAAAGCATTTAGGACTTCAACTGCTACCAGACCAGGGATCATCATCCACAACACAAACAATTAGCCAATCTCAAGATCGATGCAATTCATCAGAATCTGGTATTTATACTCCTAGTGTTATGATCTTAGTCTAATACTCCGGTATACATTTTTTCGGGTTATCAGACTTTTGGTACATATGATACATGCTTTGTAGTCATATGCTTACCATTTTAGCAATCTCTTTTCCCCTTGTTTTCTTTTACTTAGTTCTCTTGTGCTTCTTGCCCTTGAACCCAGGTGAAGATGAAATATGTGGCAAGGGTGTTGAAGGGCAAATGAAGCCAGTTTACTTGCTGAATAATCTAGACCTCATGTCAAATCCTTCTCAACTTGGTTACGGAAATTTAGTGGTAGGTGGAGCTGTTATACTCAGGGATTAACTTGTTAGATGGTTGTTAATTATGCTTCTCCTTCCTTTCAGGGTCGTGTACCATATCCTTATGCCGATCCTTACTTCAGTGGGTTCTTGGCTGCATATGGACCACAGGCTATGGTATGTTTTGTCGAGTACATTGTTTTTCTTTGCTATTGATCTGTAGTTACAATTCTGCCCCTACTCAGTTATATCTAGAAGTAAATACATAAAAGTTGGCATCTCTAATTTGCAAAACGGTGTTGGGGTATATTCTTTGACAGTATTGTGTCAAAGAGAATGTGGCTAATTATTTATTTTTAACGTTGTCCAGATTGTACCAGATTGTACTTATTAATATTTTTCTTCTTCTTTTTGTGGTTGTTGATTGAAAATTAACTGAATTCAGCCTCAGATGATTGCACCTACCCGAGTTCCATTGCCTCATGATCTGGCAGAAGATGGACCCATCTATGTCAATGCGAAACAGTACCATGGCATCCTCAGAAGGAGACAGTCTCGTGCAAAACTAGAGGCTCAAAACAAACTTCTCAAAGCTCGAAAGGTATGTTAAGTCGTCATCCATTTCAACTCTTTTCCTGCATTGGGTAATATGTGGAGAAACTTTTTCATAGTTTTGGATGCATTACTAGTATATTTCATAATGTCAAAGAAAGCGATTGCGTAATGAAATGATACTTCATCCATCAAAACCAGAGCTCTCCCTTTCTGAATTTATTCTCCTTTAGAATGAATAGAGCCTTAACCCACGTTTGTTGTGGCTTTTAAATGAATGCAGCCGTATCTCCATGAGTCTCGCCATCTTCATGCCCTGAACAGGGTAAGGGGCTCTGGTGGACGTTTTCTCAGCACAAAGAGGCTCCAACAATCTGATCAGAACCCCTCCAGTAGCACCCATGATGTTCCGGACTCCGTCAACTTACATCAGAAAGATACACAGGACACAGAAAGTCATCACTTGGGAAGCAGTGAATTCGTCACTGCTGTTGCAACCCACTCAGACATAGCAAGTGTTTCCCATACCAATGATATCTTTCGGCAGCAGGATCGCAGGTTCTCAGGCATCCCTTCCCACATGGGTGGAGCCATGCAATTCCGCGGGGGAATAATGCGTGCTGGAACCCAGCATTGTGCTTCAGTTGTCCGGTGATAGGTGAGCACGAACAAGACCGTCTCACCGGTTTGGCAAATCATCCTTGGCTTTACCGTTCTAGAGTCTAGACTCTACCTTTTATGCTTCTAATGGAAATGGCATTCGAAAACACATTACAGCCGTAAGGTCTATAGTATGTATTAAATATTATCCTAATCCTTTACTTGTTAACATTGATGAACGGGATTGTGTTTCGGTGATACCCTTCTTATTACGAAAAGTTTGGTTATTATTAGATTCCAATATTCTCATTCTTACGAGCAGTCCTTTGCATTCTGGTGGGAAATTCCTTGCATAAGAGTGGGTCATGAAACAGAAGGAAATTTGGGCCGTAATGTCTATATGTATGCTTGCAGCCGGTCTGATAACAAGTTCATGCTTGCAGTTTGTCTGATCAGAAGTTTATGCTTGTTTGCATGACAATGGTTCAATGTTGAAACTGAGGTTTAAGCCCATGGATGTGGACTTGCACCATTTCCAATGAAGCATTCTTATGATCCCGTCATCTTTTCACTTCAAAAGAGAGTAGAATTTTTCCCAAGTTCGAATTCTAATCCTATTCATAAACATTAAAAAAAAAGTTATAAATAGTTATATTTCCATGGATGTATGGGATGGGACAAGAACTTTGTTACTAGTTATGGTCCCCATTACAGTTCCACAGTAGTTATAAATTTCCAAGGGAAAGGAACCATCAAATACATGGAAGCCTAGGTCTACATCATAGAGTGTAAATTCCATTATTTTCTTTTGATTTCTGGGAGGTGGCGGATGCGAGAATAATTACTCTACCACTAAACTTATATAGCATGTTCTCCACATTTACTTATGGCAGGTTCGCATTTTAAGAGTAGCAATCAGGATATTATTTTTATGATTTGATTTTAATTAGGAATATTTTAGGAATATTTTGTTATTTTCCTTTTGTTTTCTAATTAACTTTCCTAATTTCTTCAAGTGTACGATTTCTCTTGTATAAAAGGCATGCGTTGGAGTATCTGGAAACAATCATCTTATTTTCAATAAAATATCATTGAGGTTTTTCTCAATAAAATATCATTAAGGTTTTGCTCAATCAAATATATAAAATATCATTAAGGTTTTGCTCAATCAAATATCATTGAGGTTTTACAATTTCTGGCAAGTTGGTTGGTGGATTCTAGCGTGTTACTTGTAGGGTTATCGTTTGATTTTCGTATTCCCTTATATCTCGACATGTTAATGTCTTTATTAGTAAGTTTGTTCTTCATTAGAGATGTGATACACATTGTAAAATAAAATATCATACATTTCCAATCTACACTACATGGTACATTCCCGATGTTCTATAAAATATTAACAAAATATCAACAAATGTACGATATATCATGATACTGTAGGTTGGTAACAGTGTGAAACAATTTTTTCTCCTCAAAATGGTTTTACCTTATTATGATACCAGTGACTTCCAGGTGGGACCGTGGGTAAGTCCAAAGCAGGAGGAAGAACAGAAAAGATAACCAATTGACAGGGCCCCACCCTAACCCTATTCAAAAATTGAATAACTGTAAAAATAAAATAAAATCCCAATGTTCCTTTAGATAAAATTCCAGAATTTAGGATTTAAATTCCCACGACATTTCCATTTCCACTTTCTGCTTTTACAGCAAGTTGGAGACGGAAATTAGAAGAAACCAAAGCCAAGCCCAGCAAGAGCAAAGCTTCACACAAAGCAAAAACCATGGTGACGTACGTGAGCGCGCTGCTGTACGGAGTTGGAGGTCTGGTTGTGGCGGGCATGGCATTGCTTGTGGCCCTCCAGGAGAAGCTCGTCTACGTGCCCGTCTTGCCGGGTCTCACCAAGTCCTACCCGATAACCCCGGCCCGGCTCCGGCTCACCTACGAGGACGTCTGGCTCCTATCCTCCGACGGCGTTCGGCTCCACGCTTGGTTCATCAAGCTCTTACCCAACTGCCGAGGTCCGATCCGGTTCTTTACCCGATTCGTTTTTATCTGTTTGATTTGGGTTAGCTTGAATTTTGCTGAATTGGGTGGGTTTAGGTTTCCCTGAGGCAATTAGGTTTGGTTGGTTGTTGGAATTGCTGCAATTACTGAACGCAGCCAGCTAATTGTGTTTGTTTAGCATAGTTTAGAACAAATGCATGCGTTGCACAGTAATTGTTATTCGTTTCGCATATAATTCGAGACAAGTAGTTAGAAACTTTACTTGAAAATTAATCTGTTACTTTGGGTTTGGGATGCTTTTGAATTTTTGGCATGTTCTTTCCGCGCTTAGAAAGTTGTTTCTCTTGCTTTGCAGGTCCAACCCTTTTGTTTTTCCAAGAAAATGCTGGAAGTATCCTATTTTTCAGAACTTCATTTATATTACTATAATTTGGAACATTAGCATTACATTGTTTTTGTGATTTTTGCTTTCTGGTTTACGGGTAATTATCATGAACTTAGTGGGGGAGCCCTATATGCTTTGTTGGCCTTGACTATTGACCTTCAGATATTGCGCATCGCCTTGAAATGGTCCGCATAATGATACAAAGGTTGCAATGCAACGTGTTTATGCTTTCATATCGAGGGTATGTGCCCACTATGTTTCTATCTAGTGGCTTTGTAGCATTATCAGCAGCTTAATTTGGGTAAACCTATCTATATTGATTTATTGAATGCAAATGGTCATTGATATAAACAGTTATGGAGCAAGTGAAGGATATCCTTCTCAGCATGGGATTACAAAAGATGCTCAAGTATGCTTTTCGGTTACAGATGTACTAAAATTCCACTCTACTTATTATATGTCAGCTCTGTAACTCTGTTAGTATACTTTTCTTTCTTTCTGTTAGGTTGCATTGGATCATCTTTATCAGAGGACTGACATTGACACATCTAGAATAGTAGTCTTTGGAAGGTCACTTGGGGGCGCAGTTGGAACTGTGGTTACTAAAAATAACCCTGATAAGGTATCACTCCAATAATCTTCTGTAACTTAATGTTTTCTCACTTATTACAAGAGCGAAAAAGAAGGGCTGTTTAGGTGAATAGAGAGTTGTTTCCCCCACTTAAAAATTTAAAGCTGTCTTGTTGATTTCTTTCTGCTTCTCTGGCAACTTATTTCATATGTAGTTCCAGCATGTTGTAATTCTTTAAAAACCAATTTTGAGTCTTACCAATAGTGGAAAATTTTCCACTGTTTAATGTCCTTGAATAGTATATTTTGAGTTGGTAAGCTGAGGTGGTTTTGCTCTGTTTATGGATTGCAGGTTGCTGCACTGATAGTAGAAAACACTTTCACATCTATTTTGGACATGGCTGGAGTTTTACTGCCTTTCTTGAAGTGGTTTATCGGAGGCAGTAGTTCAAAAGGTCCTAAAGTACTTAATTTCCTTGTACGTTCTCCTTGGAGTACAATTGATGTCATTGGCGAGGTAAGCTTACTTGGTGGTAGAATATCTTGATTCACCCAGCACATAGACACGTGAAAAAATGAAATAATATGCAAGATATGTATTGGTCACCTTTTCAATTTTCAGTATCTTCCAGTTTTCTTATATGAATGCACCAGTCCATGCTTGATCCAGTGCAGAATATCTGGATGAAAAAAAGTATTTTAATCTAACTTTGCATCTATTCGTTAAAACTATAATGCGATGTATAAAGTGAGTTAGCAAGTGTAGAAATATGTATCAGTATCGGATTTCAGAAATGTTAGTACCAATAAGACATGATTTTTAAAGATGTAAAAACTCCCTTTATAAATAGCAGTTGCAATGCCTCAAAATCAACAAAGTGCTATGACTATGAGTCATATCTCTTCTGCCACTACCTGAATGTTTTGGGGAAATTTTTTGCCGATGCTTTGTCCCTTGCCCTTGCTAATTTCACTGATCCCTCATATGTGACCATCTAAATGCAGGTTAAGCAGCCAATCCTCTTTCTCTCTGGCTTGCAAGATGAGATGATTCCCCCGTCCCATATGCAAATGCTGTATGCCAAAGCAGCTGCTCATAATAGGCAATGTGTTTTTGCGGAATTTCCTACTGGCATGCATATGGATACTTGGCTTGCTGGTGGTGATCATTATTGGAGAACGATCCAGGAGTTTCTTCAACAACATGTTCAAGAGAAAAAAGATGATGAATCATCTAACAATGATATTGGTAAGATCCTGGGTAATGAAATCTTCCAAAACCTTACACACACACAGGCACACACAAAAGGTAAATGAAAGAAAAGAACTACTGAAGATAATGAAACTATGTAAGAATTAAGAACAGAGTGAGTACAATCATGTTGCAATCATTTTGCACTGACTAAACTGTGTAGTTAGGCATTAACATGGAATGGATACTGACCTACCAGATGATTTCTGGCTGAGTTCCAAACTAATTGTTCTTTCCGCCCCTCGGGGCGGGGTGTATCATGTGTTTAATTCTTCTCAAACACTGTATACTTTATGTTGTTGACCCTTAAGGATGGAAGTTTTTGGTACTGTTTTTCAAACTAAGTGATGTGTATTCATTGAAACTTTTGAGGCTTTGCCTTTTGGATGGTAATATTAGTTATCCTAGGAGTGGCTGCAAGCACCAGACTGATTACTACTCTTCCTTGCTTTTTCCTTTGCTTCTTGATTCTTAATTTTTCTTTCTCCACTCTCAGATGTGGGGGCAAAGTGATTGGATGGATTTTAGACTTCTTCAAGCATTCTGATTGGCTCCCCCTCAGGACTCAACACAATTTGTACCTTTTTTTTGAAGCTGCAGCAATTGAAAGCTCTCTGTGAGGAGTGTCTCTGCCAAGGCCGGCTGCACCCGTTGAGGTTTTTCCCATTGAAGATTTTTTGGTGGTTTTTACGAACTTCAGACGATGCAGACAAAAATGTGAATGCCTTGGATAGACTATATGACTTCTGACATACACGCGTTATGCCTAATATTGTTCTGACTGACCCCATTGTATGAAATAAGAAGTCACTGAAGATGCAATTATATATATATGTTGAGTTGGTGCTCCTGGATTGTTTGTATTGTATCGCTCAACTATGGCGCTTTAGGACCAATCTTGCTTGCAAAATAGTTAGTTTGACATTCCAAGTTGTCCATTTTATTTCCCTTTTGTTTGGGGTCAAATAATTTTTTACCTTTTACTGCGTAGTAATTACTACAGTAAGACATACATTATTGTTATTATTGTTATTATTTTATGAAGAAAAGATGTTATTTTGAGTCTTGCTAGAGAAATGAGTTTTATGTGCTTTGTCTTGAACCTAGTTTCAGATGGTTTTGGCTGCTGGATAATAAAAAAATCTTTGGGAAGAGAGAGAGGTCACAACAATCGTCGAAATTTTTCTTCTTCAGGACACGTGTATGGCTGATAAGAGCTCTGGTCATCTACATACATGTGGGACCCACTAAAGCCGTCGTCAAATCCCCATCCTCGGATCATATCCGACGGCTGGAAACACAAAAGGAAAAAAACTGTATTTTTATTTGGAATTTGGTTACTGTGTTACGTGGAGTGGACCACCCGAGTTTGAACAACCACAGCAGTCTAGTCCACAGCGCAAATCAGCGGTCAGCGACCCATCGTTGACTTAGTTCCAGCTCTACCTCATTCTACGACTTGAGCCAATTCCTCAACGCCACATCATCATAAAAACATTCACACTTAATTTTATTTATTTAAGTAGTGTTTTGGTGGGTTTTGATTTCCCTCCTTTTAAAAACATGTTTCCCCCAATCTTTTCCTTCTCTCTCTTGTGCTATTGAGAACGTTGGGATCTCAGGCTTCTCGTCTTTCTCAGCCGTCGCTTCTGCATAAACAAGTAAGTAATTAAATACCATTTGGATTGGAAGAAGTCAACCTATTTACGATTCTGCCCCTCACCTCCTTCATTCTTCAGTCTCTTCTTTTCTTTTTTCTAAAGCTTAATTAGCTCTCAGGACCGGACTGTGTGTACGGACATGGAAGGAAGAGGCGGAGGAGCAGGAGCGCCGTACAGCCCACGCACTGTGGATGAGGTTTTCAGAGACTTCAAGGGCCGCCGAGCAGGCATGATCAAAGCTCTCTCCACTGGTCTCTCTCTCTCACTCTTTTATTCTTCTCTGTTTTATTTTATTTTTGAATTTTTTATGGTTATTTCTTTTGACTTTGTGGCCTTTATTTAGGGCTTTGTTCCAATTTCCTATTATTTCTACGCTTTTTAAATGTTTTTCATTTTGCTAACTTTGTTTCTCTTTTTTTTTTGGGGTGCAGATGTTGAAGATTTTTACGAGCAATGCGATCCTGGTTAGGGTTCTCTGTGTTTGTGTTTTCTCAATTTCGTGTTCAATTGCTGTTTCTCCGTTTTTGAGATTTTACTATTTATTATTTTCTATTTTTTGGCCCTAACTGAGATATCTTCTCCTGCAACTTGGGGTCCAAATGTTGTTCAAACACTAAAATAATATTGCTTTCTAACTACGTGTGTGCAGAATATTAGCTCTTTTTCTAGTTTTAAAGCTTGAACCTTTATTTTCCCCCTTCCTTTTTTAAATGCATAGACACCCTGCTGGCTTGCCGTTAGCTTGTTCTCTTTGATGTTTGTTTCTTTTTTGGTCTTGCGCATTTTTATGGGATGCTTATTATTTGTTGTGCTGAACTGAATGCATTGTTTTATTGCATCAACTGCGTGCAAGTACCGGCTTCTTAATTCCTGTGGATTTCCATATTCGAATGAGAGTATCAATTTCGTCATCCTTTTTGCAATATCCTACCTTCCGAGGCCATGTGGCTTTGGATCTCTAGTTAGGCTTTCATGCATTTGATTGGTTGGCAATCCTGCCTTTACTGAATTTTGTAACTGCTAAACAGATCTTTCAGTTCACTTTTTCTTGTTGTAGTCATCAGAACTGGAAGATCCTTGTGTGGGTTGGATATAATGTACTTCATGCTGTACTGCGTGATACTTTTGCTACAGTAAACGGGCTGATGAAGTATATGCTATATCATCGACCTTTTATCAAAATTCGTGGTTGGAGTTATACACTATACTACTTGTTTGTGGTCAGTATTTGTAATACTAAAACTATAATTCCTGTGTAACTTTGCCATTGGAAGTTGCCGTTATGCTTTTGCATTGTTATTTACTTATACTGTAAATGGTTTGTAATATATTAAAAGTCTGGAATTTTGTGTACTCTAGAATCCTTATTCTAGGAACTGATGCTTATTGTGTTTAACTAATTGGTCAATTGGTAATGCTTCAGAAAAGGAAAACCTTTGTTTGTATGGATTCCCAAATGAAGAATGGGAAGTTAATCTACCTGCTGAGGAAGTTCCTCCTGAACTTCCGGAACCTGCTTTGGGCATCAACTTTGCTAGAGATGGGATGCAAGAAAAGGATTTTTTATCTCTGGTAGCTGTTCACAGCGATGCATGGCTACTTTCAGTGGCTTTCTATTTTGGTGCCAGATTCGGTTTTGATAAGGCTGACAGGTATGCACACTTCCTTTCTTGCTGCTACGTGATGCTTTCATTTAGATTTGCACAACAATAAGGTTGTCTAGATGTTGCAGCAACAAGTCAGAACCTTAAATTTAAAACTTGAATGAAATCGTAAAACAATAATTATGCACTAAAAAGAATTTTATATGAAGAATTTTAGATAGTGGATATTTGCTTTTGTTGTACCTGTGATGCAGGATAATATTGATGAAATTTTTGGTTGAGTGTCATCTCAGTAGCAATGGCCAACAGTGCAGAAAGTGATTTTTGACATGTATTAGGGTGCCTAAACATGGCATGGATTCATTTCTGGGATGGGGGTAGGGTTGAGCTTCAATCTAGGTAGCCAGATCAATCTGTATCAGGTCAAACCTGTTGTTTAAAAATCAACATGCGCATCTGAATAGATTCTGGATCTGAGAGGATTGCCCCTCTAACGATTTGAATTTAGAATACGTCACCTAAAATGGTTCAGTGCAAATTTGATGCAGAAAACGTCTCTTCACTATGATGAATGATCTACCAACAATATTTGAGGTTGTGACGGGCAGTGCAAAGAAACAATCAAAGGAGAAGTCATCAGTTACAACAAATCAAAGCATCCATAGGCCTAAGTCAAGCTCTAAAGGGGTAAAGTGAATTTGTGTTTTGCAGTCTTATGGATTTGTTAAATCATTTAGGAAAACGAGTTAATTGGTGACTTTTGATATGTGAGTGTGCTTTTATTACTCTCTCAATAGATAATACGATATAAAAGCATATAAGAAAATGTCCTAATCTAATACAATAGGAGTGAAACTGGAATTTGTGTGTGTCCACCTGCGTGAGTGGAACTGGAATTTGTTTGTGTGTATTGCCTGGCATTTAAATGTCATTTATTATTCATATAAGTGTTATTTTGTGCTAGGCTTATCTTAATGGTATGCTTCCTTAACTACATGTTTCTGCTACCAATTCTTAATCCGAGAACAGCGAGGCTCTGATTCAAGCAAACATTCGAAAGTGATGCCAAAGGATGAAGACGAGGGAATGGACGAGGAAGATGATGATGACCACAGCGATACTCTGTGTGGTGCATGTGGGGAGAACTACGCTTCGGATGAATTCTGGATTTGTTGCGACATATGTGAGAAGTGGTTTCATGGAAAGTGTGTGAAGATCACTCCTGCCAGAGCTGAGCACATCAAGCACTACAAGTGCCCCTCGTGCAGCAACAAGAGAGTGCGGCCTTGATTGTAGTACAAGGTGTAATTATGTCAAGTTGGATAGAGCTAACTATTTAGTTAAGTTTTCTGCTCGTGAGCCATGGTGACATAGCCTCTCCACTTAGTACTTTGTTCTTGGTGATCTTGCTGTTTGGATGATATTAATGTTTCCTAATGTGAACTTGCGCTTTATGATTTAACTGTTTCATACATTTGTTCTGTCAAATGTGGAAGCCCCTAAATTATTCTGTCTAATTTTGAAATCTTATGTTGGTTATTTGTTCCATTTTGACCAGAGTAATGATGGAAACGTGTGTGACCAGCATAGAATGTGCTTTACAACTAAAGCAACAATTCCTGAAATTTGTTGGGTAAATTATCCGGAATTCCATAAGATTTGCGTAAAACAACAATTACTATATTACCATATTTCCAATATAAGTAAAAAGATAAAAAGAACAGATTTGTATGATAACATGGTGTTTAAACACTCATTGTTGCTATTTGACTCATGTTTATATAACAACTCCAAGTCTTTCTTGCTAATTGGTAATTAAAATGTTACTAATTCTTGCACTTTGTCGTATAGCTGCCTACATGTGACATGATTCAAATCTGTCAAAAAAGAAACATAAATGCAAATCCCATGAAGAAATTAAAGAGTAGGGATTGCTAAGTTATACATATAACCAGTGGCGGACTCAGAATTGTGTCGCCATGGGGTCATAATGTAAAGTCTCAAAATTTTGTCAAGAAGAAAATAACACTAAAAAATACAAGTTATAATTGTCCACTAGAACTAGAACTACCATAGGCACTTGCACTAGAACTACCCGGATTAGACTCACTATCCATAGACACTTTTCTCTTAAAAAATCATTCCATGATAATTAGTGTTTAAACACTCATTGTTGCTATTTGACTCATGTTTATATAACAACTCCAAGTCTTTCTTGCTAATTGGTAATTAAAATGTTACTAATTCTTGCACTTTGTCGTATAGCTGCCTACATGTGACATGATTCAAATCTGTCAAAAAAGAAACATAAATGCAAATCCCATGAAGAAATTAAAGAGTAGGGATTGCTAAGTTATACATATAACTTGAAATTTTGCTCACAGCCTTCGTATAACCGCGCCGGAAGGTCACAACCAAATATGGAAGCTCCCAAGGGTCCCAACAAAAACGTTTGACTGAAGCAATGCATTTTCTTCTCAAATAAAATAAAATATTAATCAGGTTTTGGACTTTGGTTGGCTTGGTCAACTTCTGCTGGCCAAATTCTTCTTCTTTTTAAGTATTGGCTTCCACAGTACCACACATCCAACATTTTATCACGGCTCCATCTCCACGGAACTCAAGCCCTCAAGCTAAGAAGAGAC